TGATCATGTAACTGAAAACATGGCATGTCTTTGAGGTAATTGCATAATGAATTCATCCACCTTGGATAAAGAATTCCGTCCATTTTATCATATTCTTTATATATGCTTCAACTTGTAAAGCTTTTGTTTAATGTAACTATTTTTCACAATTTACACCCACTGTTTTGGGTTTGTTCTTATTGTACAACATTCCATTGTAAGGTGTAAGTCAGGAGATGGTGACTTACAAATTGTAAATAAGTGAGGAATTGTTATGGAACTGACCTGTGCCTCAGGGGAGTACCGGTAGTTCATTCAAAGTGCTTTACTGTGTTCATGTTGTTGAAAACATCAGATTTGTTTCTCCGTCCATGGTAGATATTGTAACTTATTGACCAGCTAGTGAGGATCTCACCGTCCATTGTAAATCTGTGATATGTCGACATTAAAATATATCTTGTACTTTTTTGTGTTGGTCATAATTCTTTGATATGGTAGAGCTTTTGATATACATTTCAACACCTGCATGATTTGGACACAATGTACAAAATATAGGTAAATGTGTCATTGCTTGATTTAGTTTTTCAGGGTTTGGTTGTGGTTTAACGCTGTACTCAGCAATATTCCAGCTATGTGGCGGCAGTATGTAAATTATTGAGTCTGGATTAGATAATCCAGTGATCAACAGCATGAGCATCAATCTACTCAACTGGGATACAATGTCATATGGCAACCAAGTCAGCGAGCCTAACCACTCAATCCTGTTAGTCACATTTTACAAGCATGGGTTGCTGAAGACCAATTCTAACCCGGATTTTCATGGTATAGTTTTTCCAAGAAGTGTTTTTTGTACCTTGCTGATTTTCTTAAGGAGTAAAGTAAACTATAGTTATAACAAACTCAAGGTACTGCTATATTTACTTTGTCATAACCGTAGTTCGTAATCAGCAAGTGGTCATGACAGAAATATGAACAGAAAACAGTACGTGTCATAGGCTCATGGTTTTTGAAATCACACCTTATATGTTCATTTGAGACATGGTGGCTTACCTGATCATACAAACTAGTGTTGGGAATTGGTTGAAATCTCACAATTGATGATTGGTTCAATACCAACGACCAATCATCGAAAAAAAATTGGTTAGCGTCATTTTTTAGATTTTTCCTATTCAGGTTGTAGTTGCAGATAAGTATAAAGAAAAGTACATTTGGTTCTCTGGGTTTTTTTTCCAGAAACTGCACAAATTACATTTGCAGATTTCACATCCAGTGTAAAATGATTCAGTTCCAGTGTAACAGTAACTTCCCAGATTCTTCAAGAAATATTCAGTCATGACTTTTCAGAAAGTAAAGTGAGATTTCTTAGAAATAAGCACGTTTTCAGGCCTTGACAACGTCCTAGATATGTTCCATCATCAAGTATTTCAAACAGTATTTCAAAAATCGTTTGTGTTCGATTATGAGAAAATGTGATCGATTGCTTGGTCGTTTGGCCACTGCGACCAATCTTCATTATTTCAATTAATCGGACCGCCACTAGTACAAACACCTTGCAACATTCGACATGGCTGATTTTCAAAACAATATTTCAATATTCATAACAATTTCTTTATAATATTTCTTGAACTTTCAAATTTCTGTGCAAGGTGTGTTTGTGGATGTAATCTCAGCTACCAGACATTTATTAACATTAAAAACTCCCAGATATTCAACCCAGGTTGAATAGTGATATACTCCCACCATACTCAATCCTTCAGTAAAGATATCCCTATCATGCTTGGTATCCTCATCTGTGTTGGAGTTGGTTCCCAGCAACATCACTCATAAAACCGAAGGTGACTTCATGGATTGGGGAGTCAACCCTTGGTTGGCTAGAACCATCCTTGGATGGGGATTAACCACTGGACTGTCTGATCCAGATTTTATTGCAGGCTGCCATCATAGAGCTAGAAAATAAATCTAAAATCACAATTGGCAACATAATGTGACTGGGTTGTTGCAATGCCTGCTGAATGTGGTCAGTACGTTGACCTGGCCGATGTATCTTGATAGTATGGATTGGTGCTCACACTATCAACCACTGGGTCACTTTGTACTTTCCACACCACTTTGACAGTTGTACTGATGACAAAGCACAAAGTACTGTTATATAATTCTCAACCATGAGTACAAAACCAAATGCAATACAAGAATCTAACAGATTTGTTTTATTCAACAGTAGCGTAGAACATGTACATAATATCACAGACAGTGCTTCAAACAAATATCAGCATAATTAAAGAACATACCTGGACGGAATACATTTTGATTTGCAAACTTTAAACCACAATAGAAAATGGTTAGTCAAAATTAAAAAATATATCAATACACATCTGAATGTGACCATGCCCATTCAAAGAGATCCTTGTTAATTCTACAAAAATAAAACAAAAAAAGTCATTTGTACAAAGCATTCATCTATTTATCTTGACTAATAAATAGAAAAATATAAAAAGAAACAAACTTAATGGTATTAAGATATTCTACTGTCAAAAACTTAATATAAAAATTGATATTAAAAAAAGTACAATACAATCCTAGGAAATATGTCGGTATTTATCTTTGTTAAGTGAAAAGTATTTCAGTGTAGATTGATCAAATAATTTAACAGTGATTATATTCTTTTCCTTCATTTTGCTGGAGACACCATAAACTCCGGATTCAAAATGAGGTCTTCAGTGAAATGACTGAACACTGAGCACCCCGATATAGACAGCATATTCTGAAGGGATGAGGTAACCCTGCCCCATCACCACCTGTCAATCAAACAACATGACGCACAAATCAGAAAGTCTGAGGTGACAGTGAATCTGCATTTTGTCAAACAATATCAAAACAATAGATGTAAGTAACTTTCAGGAAAACATATTTTTAAGTTACTTCCCATTTAGGCCTAAAAAAAAGAGAGTTGTGGTTCCGATTACCCAACCGACCCTTGAATTCTGGTGCCGACCCTAGTTTTTTTAAGAGGTATGACTAAAAAAAAGCTTTCAGCCCCAACGGACATCCGTCATTCTGATAGAGAAAGTCGACATGATGGCAGCAAGCTTGATTAAATAAACAATTACACATTGATAAATGTGTTATTATTTCGTACTTTACTTCCCCAAAAATGTTTAAAAAAAAGAATTCCTACCTACCTACCCTACATTTTAAAGAGGTGTAATCGGAATCACAACATTTTTTTTATTTGGCCTTAGTTATAATTCCCATAATAAATCAATCTATAAATTCTGAATGAAAGAAAGGATAAGGAAAGAAGAATTTGTTCTAAAACTACAAACTATTGTCAGGGATAAATGACACAACACTGAAATACTACTCTCTGCACAACTAACTTCACTGTCAATCACCTTTTCCCAGATGTCACACAGGACGGACTATATAGATTACATTAATGAAGCATACAACTTTATGGATGACAACTAGTTGTTTATTACATAGAGTGACGTTTCGATGTAGATTCTTACACCGTTATCAAGCTAAGTCTTACACTGTTGTTACCTTTATAACAGTGTATGATTCTACACTGAAACATCGCTGTATGCAATAAACAAGAAGTTCTCATCCATAAAAGTTGTATGCATAATTTTTGACTCACCAACTTCAAGAATGCCGATAAAATGAATGGATTACATTAGCTGAGTATTCAAGTGACAAGTGTACATATATATGATACAGTCTCAACCAAATGAAGATAATGTATGAGTGGTAAATCTATTTAATTCTAATCAAATTTACTATTTAATAAACATCAGCGTAAAGTAAATTGAAATAATAACATGGCATCAGTTGGTAAAATACAAAACATAACGTGTTGTTGGCAAACTGTCAAAGGCATAATAAACATAATTATTTCTGTGATGAGATTTTGAGCTCACTGGAGAACTCAAACAGTTGAAAATCTGTCCTTGAACATAACTTACGTCACTACATTTCTGCAGAACCTGGGCAAGAGTTCCGAGAACTCGTTTCATTCACTGTACCCATTCTTGGAATGAAACAATGGTTATTGTTCATGCTAAAATAGTCTGTCTGCTAAATCACCCTGATATGACCAAGATCTGGCCTTGATTTCTCGAAACAAACTTAAGTCTGAGTTTCGACTTAAGTAATCGTTTTTACTCAAATTTGAGAAAATGCATTTCCCAGAATGAACTAACATTGATATTAAACTCAAACATAGTAGACAATTTGAGTTTGGTGGATAGATTACTTAATTTGTTTGGGCTTTTTGTATTTAAAAAATGCAGTTGAGTTAAAAATTCATCTGTTTCAAATTGTCTAACTCAGTTTGAAATTTGAGTAAAAACTTAAGTTTGTTTCGAGAAATCGGGGCCTGGTTATGCTGAACAAACATGGTACATGTAGAACACAAACATTGAAAATTCTGGGATATCTTCCCACACAGTTCTCAATTCAGGAAGGACAAATTCCAGCACTCGAAGACTTATGGCAACAAAAATATCAAAATATGATCATGGTTTCAGAGCACTGATAACCAAAAACATCTGTAATGATGACCTCAATCTCAGGTCTCTTACTCGTTACATTGCCACTGTACGTGAAGACTTGACAGCCATAGGTAGCATCAGATGAACCCAGACGGAATGGTAACCGCTAAATCCAAATGGTAACGCTAAGACCAAATGGTAACCACTAAGACCAAATGGTAACCACTAAGACCAAATGGTAAACGCTAAGACCAAATGGTAACCGCTAAGACCAAATGGTAACCGCTAAGACCAAATGGTAACCGCTAAGACCAAATGGTAACCGCTAAGACCAAATGGTAACCGCTAAGACCAAATGGTAACCGCTAAGACCAAATGGTAAGACCAAAGACTAAGACCAAAAATGGTAACCGCTAAGACCAAATGGTAACCACTAAGACCAAATGGTAACCGCTAAGACCAAATGGTAACCGCTAAGACCAAATGGTAACCAGCTAAGACCAAATGGTAACCTAAGCTAAGACCAAATGGTAACCGCTAAGACCAAATGGTAACCGCTAAGACCAAATGGTAACCGCTAAGACCAAATGGTAACCGCTAAGACCAAATGGTAACCGCTAAGACCAAATGGTAACCGCTAAGACCAAATGGTAACCGCTAAGACCAAATGGTAACCGCTAAGACCAAATGGTAACCGCTAAGACCAAATGGTAACCGCTAAGACCAAATGGTAACCGCTAAGACCAAATGGTAACCGCTAAGACCAAATGGTAACCGCTAAGACCAAATAGAGGATACGGTTGCTGAGCCACACAGATATCTTTTTTATTCAATTTCATTAGAATTCATTATTTCTTTACTCTCCAGATTAAGAAATCGTCACTTCGTAAAAAAACAACAAAAAGAAACCAAAACATATAGAGCACAATTATTCCTCTGATGGTACCATAGAGTGAATATGCCATGGCACTCAGAAATGACAGGGTGTTCAAAATATAGACAAATGAATGGCCAGCTTTGTTATTTACATTTTGAACTTGCTGTTTAACTTTGTTTTTACAATATAGAAATAAGACATGATGATCCGGTTTCTTTCCACACTAATACCAAGAATTATTGATACTGATTAGCTGATTAGAAAGCATACCTGACTTGCCCTCAAATGGAGGTATCGTTAGATCGTCACAAGGAGTGAGTGCATGAGTTTAGTTTTATGCCGCTTTAAGCAATATTCCAGCAATATCACGGCAGGGGACACCAGAAATGGGCTTCACACATTTTAACCACTAGGCTACCCACTCTTCACAAAGAGAAGCACTGTAATGAGTACAAGATCCTTGATGTAAGATAAATAGATCCATGGACTAAGTCCAATCTGTGTCTGCACGTCTACATCAAGGAAGAATATATCCTTTCAAATCCCAGCCAGGGTCTGTTCATGTGAGATACTGCACCTGCTTTAAGTACTTGGCCCGTATATCTGGGCTGTACTTGATGAAAGGTTTCAGTTCATCGGTGAGAGTCACCTTCCTGCCATACGGCGACATTCGGTTGTGCGACGGTTCACTCATACTGTCTACATGATCCATGTGGCGCAAGCTGGCCCGGATCTGGTCCAGCGGTGGAAGATGATCGTACACGCTGTGATGCGGATCTGGGCTGTTCATCGTCATCCTCTGGTTGCTATGGGAATACTGAGTCTGTGTGCGCAGTAGTGGAGATAGGGTATGTGCAGGTGTGAACTTGTCGCCATTCACTTTGAAATGAGGTTTCCTCATCGCGGCTTGTTTCTGTTCACGTAACCGCTGTACTACTGAACCCTTGACAATTTTTTCTCGGTTACATGCGGCTAGTTTTGCCTCTCGGCTCGATGAGCTTGGTGGTCTCATTGCAAGGCTGCCTGTGTCTGGATTTCGTTCAGCCCCAAGCTATATTCTCTTGATGATGTGAACTGGAGGTTACCGGCCTTGGATCGAACACTGTCATTTGTCGTTGTGTGATGGGTCGTCTAGTAACCGAACTGCGCATGGACTCTCTTGTGTTTGAGCGTGAGGGTGGGGTTGAGGCAGGTCTGGCGCTGGGTGTGTGATTAGAGACACCAAAGCGAGGGTCGTACTTTGTCAGTTGAGCAGCATGAACCTCATCACTGGGGTCTGTGACCTTGCCCTTCGCAACTGATTTAATTGAGATCGGCTCAAAGTACACATTGCCGTTGTAACCACGCCATGCCTGAAATAGTGAAAATATTTTCTGACCATTAAAGTTATTTAGTAAGTGCATTTACAATAATAATAAACTTAAAATACATATGTGTTTGACAAGAGACAACAATAGTCTATTTTTTTCGGCAATCCTGTTAAGTTTTTAAAATACGACTTTTATCTTACTCTGAGACTGGCAAAGTATGCTTTCATCAACTACAAGTAAAACAGTCAACATTTGCAGGGCATAAGAAACCACAAATGTTTTACACCTGACTGATGTACATGATCTAAATGTGAACACCATCATGTTCTTGATGCAGACTGAGAGTAAACCCAGCATAAAGTGATATTTCACCCCATTCTTCCATATTTTCAAATTTCATAGGCCAGAATAAATTAATGCCCTCCAACAACCTCCCCATTTAACACCCTGCCTCTCATCATCTATGTATCCATTTTCCACAGACGAACAAACCTGATACATGAGTTACTTCTTTTGTTAATGTGATGAAGCATTATATACATAGTCTTACCAAACATTCATGATTCATGTGAAACACTTCCAACCCACAGATGACGTATACAGACGTTTTGAAGAATTTGTTAAAATCAGAAAGAGGTAATATGTTTTCAAGTTTTCCTTGTAATAAAATCCACTTTTCTGGATGTTTCCAGTTCACTTCAATCAACAACAGCTATCATCATCCTGATTTTACTCAGAAAACAAACAGTATAGCTATCATAGGTAAAATGAAAACAATTACAAGAGATGAAAATTTGACTTTCATGTCTTTCTGTGTAAACTTTTCAAAACCATTTCAGCATTTGTATTTATTTCTTTTTTAATTCCCTTGGACCATGTCAACACTTTCATAAGTAATAAATCCAAGGTATATATCAAAACTAACGGAAATAAATTTTGTATATGACATCAAACTTTGAACATACTGAACTGTTCCCTATCAAATTATGCTGTTTTTTGTTTGGTAATGCAATCTACCTTGAGGGGAGCCATGGGTGAAGGTCGTCGCTGATGGATGTAGAAATAAGTGGGCTGAGTGACTCCAAATGGAGGTTCGTCCACACTGATGAGAGCAGACGGCATTGTGACATCTGCTGGGTTCTGGTTCACACTGGTACAACGATTGGACATCAAGGTCAGGGCACGGCGGAATACAGCTTCTCGTGTCTCAAGATTTCTTGTTGTGTCTCTGCAGGGAGAAATCATTTGTACCAGATGCAAACTCTGCTATTTAGAATATTTACAAGAGGCAAACAGACATTTCGACGAGAAAGCATCTATTACATTTTTGTAGTCAATGGTCAATAAAAATTATGGAAGTGGAATTATGTATTTATTCTCACTGTTGTGCAATTTGAGGTGGGGGGGTTGTTTTAATTTTTGTGTTTTTAGTTTGCTGGTCCTGAAAAGTGACAGTATGGGTTAGATGGTCACTTTGTTGTTTAACGCCACTTCAGCAATACCCAGTTATATGGTGGCGGTCTGTAAATATTCAAATCTGGACCAGACAATCCAGTGATCAACAGCATGAGCATCAATCTACGTAATTTGTATATGATGTGTAGTGAAAGTTTTAGCCTGCAAAAAAGAATACCTGTTTGCAACCAATTCAATTCCAGCAATGGTAGCATGGATATAGATTTTATGATCAATGTCAGATTTTCGTCTGACCAGTTTCAAAGAAAGAAATGACTCCGTTTCAGGCCTGGATCCTTAGGAACCCCTAAAACCATTACTGAGAATATCTGTCCACAAATATACAGATGCAGACACATTCCTGTAATCATCGGTGTAATGTAGATGCTATGATGACCTTGAAGCATAACCTAATTGATTGGCTGTTGTACTAAAGTGGTTAATGAGTGATAACAACTTCTGATTTAGGGTTGTTACTGAATGGGGATAATTTGCATATTTTAACCCTATCATAATATAAACAACTATGTTGTCTGAACAAATACAACTATCTGCAGATGTTTCACTGTGTGATATTAGTGATATGTTAGACGTGAATAGAAATACTGAATAATTATAGCACCAACCATTTATAAAGAAACACAATTTCCTGAACTTGTACAAGAAAACAATGTATGTACACTAATTTTTAGGCATGCCCACCTTTAAGTTTACCACACAACAATGCATTGAGGCCGATATACTTACTTCATTGCCAATTTGTTTAGAATAGGTTTATTTTATCTCTGTTTTGAGGACAGAGTAAGGTCATTGGAACAATCAAGGAAACTTTAAAGAGAATGAAATAATAACAATCATTAGTTTGAAGTATAACCACATTTGGAACATCAATTTCTCAGCTGTAAATATTTTAACTTGTCACAAGTAGCCAAAAAGTGCAGGCATGATGAAGTGAGGTGAAATTGGGTTTTACGTCGTGCTTGAGAATATTTCGCTCATATGACGACGTGCATGCGTGTGTATGTATATGTGTTGCTGCTTGTACTAGCCCAGACTGAAGCTGGTTTTATAGTGCTAGCTCACTGCAGTGAAGCATGAATACCCCACTCAGACACAGTATACTGACTCCGAGCCGACCAATCCTTGTACCCATTAATGCCGATGCCAGGCAGGGGCCAACAAGTACCATATTTTAACATCTTTTGGTATGACGCGGTCGGGCATCGAACCCGCGACCTTCCGCTCTCCGGGCGGATGCTCTAACCACTACACCACGGAGGCGGTCGCAGGCATGATGAAGTCAAAACATACTGGATGCAATGTGTTCATGGATAATAGAATTTGTTGTTTATACAGCAATGACCGATATTCCAGCTATATCAGTGTGGCATGTAAATACTCAAAGCCTACACCAGATAATCCAGTGGTTGATGTTATAAGCAAAGATCCACGCTTTCAGTATACATTAACCAACAAAGGCACCGAGCCAAACTCAGTCAGCCTCTTTCAACAAGCTTAGGTCATGTTGGACAAATCCTAATCCAGAATTCTTCTAAATAAAATGACATTACTCTTTTTGCAAAATTCCAGATAAGATGCAAATCTGTGTCAAATAATAGTTGAATCATGTCACATACTATAGATATATATCACTGTTGTGAGCTTTTGGGACATTTGACACTTCAAGAAGCTGATGAACATGAAGATACAATGCCACTTGAAACAGCAGTTTACAGAATTATTTTGTTAAGAGGTTTCGTCTTTTTCAGTGGTTAATAATTTTAGAGGCCCAGGTAAGCTGCGTATCCGGTTAAAATACGCATAGAAAATTTCCAATTACACATTGAACAAAAATTGTTGCATACCAATTACGCACTTAAAATGTTAGATGAGCAAAAAGTTTATAACAAATGCGTACAGAATATATTTATAAAAATCGCTTGCGTAATGAAAAAGACATTGATTTTTATCAAGTTGTACTGTTAGTACAGGGCTAGTGTTGTACTGTCAGTACATTATGAATGATTTTTTATGAAATCATTTCCATTATATTTAAGTTGGTTTTGATTAGGTATGACATAAGGCAGAACATACCTGCTTAGTAAACATACTTAATGACATAATACTTAGGTGAGTAAAATCACTGAAATACCCACATATTTGAAAGCAGTGGGTAACGGAAAATGAAATACCCACTCAACATTCATAATACCCACTCCAAAAAAATACAATGGGTACAGTACCCACATGAGCTAAATCTCATCTAGAGCTCTGAAATATTGAAAAAGTATCAATTAATACACAATGACTATGATAACATGTGAGTAAATACAAAATATTATCTGGAACCTTGAGTTCCAATATTGAACTATATTTACACTTTACCTTCAGAATGTTTCAGGTATATTGTAAGCAGTATCCAAGATCAACAAAATTTCAGAGTAAAGTTGTCCCAAATCTTTAGTTAAACAATCAGTGGAGGTCCTGCCGAGATGTGTAATTGCTCATATCCTCAGTGAGTTGCTTGGTACACAATCTCAAGTCTAGGAAGTATCCTAGCTACAACACTGTACCCAGTCACAAGAGATAACCCATAGAATGTTCATAACCTCAGTCCGTCTGCTGCCGATAACCTCAGTCCGTCTGCTATCAATAACCTTAGTCCAACTTCTGTCGATAACCTCAGTCAATCTGCTGTCGATAACCTGAGTCCATCTGCTGCAGATAACTGGAGTCTGTCCTCTGTTGATAACCTCAGTCAATCTGCTGTCGATAACATGAGTCCGTCTGCTTCCCACGGAGTCTGACTGCAGTCAGTCCACTCTTATATACCTCTGGCAGCTTGTTCAACTTTAAGCTATATATCACTTAATGTTTAGGTGACATTTTCACCACCACCTGAGTATCCTTCCTCATTGCCTGAAGAGTTACATAAGAGATCCTTGGGATTGTATGGTCTCAAGACAACACCCTCAATGTTCAAATTCTGTCAAAACAGACTCTGTGGTTCTTTTCATCTTGCCTGAATAAGTGAGTCAAAGCGTGAAACATATACTCTTAGAAAGAGTTGGGATTCAGATAAACTTCAAACTAGGATCTTCACTGGTTCAAGAATAAAACATCTGAACACACATGCATGATTTTTACACTTTCACGGAAGGTTGATTAATCCCCATGGACCATAATTTCTGTTAATCTTATAGACTCTTCTTTCACAGTTGTAATTAACTTGATTTTATTCATTGTTAGTGTATGAACTAGTTATGTGGTGTCACTTTTTCAACAAGAGTACAGGATTGACTGATCTGAAACCAGGCCCTGAGACCTTCCTATCAGACTATTAAACACTTCCAGTGAGCTAATCATCAACTGAACCAAGCACAAGATCCTTCAGAAAGAAGTTCCCAGCAGAGTATTAACATGTCCAACAAGCTCTCAACAGACAGTATCTATCAGAGAGAAGCTCCCATTAAACGAACACCTCTTCCACTGAGCTACACACTAACAACCAACTGTTCTGCCCATGCACAGTTTATCCTTCATACAGAAGCTCTCCACAGACCATGGACATCCACCGAGTTGACTCAGTCATGTGTCCAGTGTTGATCTGTCAGACAATGGTCCGTCAGTGACACAATACACACCCAGTCATACACTCAGTTGTTGACACAGATACCATCACTGATCATATCACATCAACTCGAGGACCGTGGGATAAGTGGGAATCTATCTCACAACACTGAACATGATAATGATGAGGATTATGATTACAACAATAACAGCAATGATAATTAGGATTTACAACACGATTATGACAAAGCATGCACTACTGTTTCAGACGTTCCTCACATCTAAAGTCAGGCTACATTAACTACTTCACATCCAGGATGTCTTAGTCACTATTTAAGCAGTTGACACTCTATAGAGATGAGAACACAAGAACACATTTCCAAACAACCTATCCCAGTTGCAAAAAGCAAAGCATTGAGCCAGTAGCTTGGCTGAATGCTCATATCAGTCACTCTTTTGTTAGGCCCATAATATATTTTTTTTATAATTGACAATTTTTATTTCCTGTTTCACCTGTTACAAATTAAGAAGCAATAGAGCCAGGGGACTCTAGGGGTTAGGCCCATAATATATTAGATACAGGCCAAGTACCAAGTAGATGGAATATTGCTGAGTGAAGCATCAAATAACAAATGAAACAAAACTATCTTAGCAGAATTCAGATGTAATTTATGCTTACCTGCACCATATATCTGTTCTGTTGATCTGTACAAAATTTTCTCAAAAACTATCACCCCAAAACCACAAATCTACATTCCACACCTTTGGTTTTTAACTAAGGTGCCAAAGATGGAATGAGCTTATATTGTATTAGTTAATTCACTCACCCCTCAAGACAGCAGTACACCCAGTGTTGGCAACATAAGGAGATATAGGGCTACGATACTGTACCAGTGATCTGCTGCCTTCTGTGTAGATTACAGCAGAACCAATATTGATACTTGAGTGTTATTTATTTAGTTAACAATCACACCCCCTCTAATAAACGAAACAGTAAACCAGCATGGCAGTCTTGCAGTGTAAACACTGAATAAAACGTCATAACTAAATAGTTACAAAAGTAGACCCCCTCGAAAATAAGGTAATATTTTCTATCCATTTATGGTATTATCTTAATTACTCTGTTCAATAACTATTTATGGCATTAGCAAGACTATTGAGTTTAGCAAGAAAACCGATTACTGCTATCCCCTACCATGGGGT